AGAGAGAGAGAGAGAGAGAGAGTCCGAGTGGGAGATGGGCACTGGGAACTCCGTATTAAGGTAGTCTTGGGGGGTTAAGTTATTCCAATGACTTAAGACTGCAAGAAGTGTGGCGGTTGAGAGATTCTTTGTTTGTCATTCCTGTAATGCTAAGATGTGACTGACTGGGTGTGGGTGGTTGGCGGGTGTTCTGGGGTGGTTCTCTCCTTCTTTGCTATCAAACGTCTATCGTCTTTATCTCCCATCCTTCTTTTTTGTGTTTGTTACTCCCTTGTAACACCTCTAATCTTCAGAACTTATATGACCTTATTGTGTTGCAAGTGCTGTAAAACTCTTACGGAAAAAAACAACTGACTGGGTATAGCTGTCATGTAGATCCCGGGGAGGGAGAGAGAGAGAGAGAGAGAGATGACAGGACGCTTACCTCAGTTGGTCTCTAGTTCTGGACTTTGGCGGTACCATAATATGAACTTGATTCAAATCTTTTGTCATCGATGTTTGTTATTTTCGAAGGTAATAATACCCTCTTTGATATCCCTTACCGCGTTGAAAGGGTTAAATGTTCGAACTAAACGAACCGGAAGCCGTCTCGGTAGTGACAGCGAAAGGTCTTGTCAGTATATCAGTGTTTTAGCGCCTGTAAATGGCTGCTTGCACTGTGTGCTTCTCAGGAAGTTGATGTTTGTTTCAGAATGCTCTAGGGTCTGCTGGGGTAATAGTATAGATTGTGAAGCGCATAGAGCTTGCTGTTGAGCGGGGATTTGCGCTATACAAATGCTTATCTATTATTATTTATTATTATTATTAGTGCCGTAAAACACCTGCTCATTTTAAGGAACTAGGATCTATGTCAATAGTGCCGTCAGAAACCTACTCTATCAGTCAATCAAGTACACTGGGAGCTGTGTCGATAGTGCCTTAAAACACCTACTCGATCAATCTATCTATCAATCAAACTGGGAGAAGTGGCCTTGTGGAGGCAGGGCCCAACATTGAGCAAGCACGCAATGCGGGGCCGTCCCGGCGTGCACGTGTGTCATTTACTCACCGGCCCTGGGTGCCTGGTTCATCTCCCAGCTATTTGCCTCATGAATAAACGATACTCTTGATTGCCCAAGACGCCTCTCCCCCAGTGTCTTTCGTTTTGTCAAAGGAGAGGCGGAGGTCCGAGACGGTCGAGTTGCTATTGCTATGCTCCAAGTCTCAATGATTGGTTTAACTTAAAGTAAAAGTGTTGTAAGTAAACTCAAACTAACCCTGGGTGTTGGGGGTTTTGTTGTTGGGTGTGTGTGTGAGGGAGGGGGGTTGTCCTCTTTTTGGGATGTTTTGTTTTGTAGGTGACCAGGCGATCAAATACTCGGCCCTAAGTTTTGAGTAGATTAGAAGCGGTTTGACAACGGAATTCACGCTTGAGTGAGGCTTTGTTTTTGTTTTTAATGAAAGAAAACTAAAATAGGGTAGACGTGTGCTTTCTTATACTTTTTTTCTCAGCCCTATACTTCGACTTTCTCTCTTTCTCTCTCTCTCTCTCTCTCTCTCTCTCTCTCTCTCTCTCTCTCTCTCTCTCTCTCTCCTCCCCTCCCCCCCCCATTCACCAACACGACTGGTAGTAGGTGTGGACTCTCGTGTAGCGTGACACGTCTCCTGATTGTCAGTAATTGCTGGCCGAGTGTTGACTGTGGTAGCACGGACTAGTCTTTGCAGAACTCATCAATTAACGCGCTGCAAGTGCCCACTAATTGACCTGACTCCTTATTCAGCGCCCGCCCCGCCTCGCCCCCACCCACACACAAAAAGAATCTGCCCATCCACCCACCTCAGTTCCTTCCTATCAAACACCTGTCGCCCTTGTCCTTTCTCCTCTTTTATTTGGATGTCACTCTGAAGTAGTAACACCCCAGTATCTTCAACCTCACTGTTCCGGACTGTTTTAGTTTCAGTCGTCTTATTCTCTGACTTTATTTGTGTTGCAAATGCGTCACACACAACCCCCCCCCCCAAAAAAAAAAACAAAACAACAACAACAACAACAAAAAAACAAAAAAAACAACAACCGCTTACGTGAACTTACCTCAGTTTATTGCTTACGAAATGTCGGAAATGTGACTGATATAGCTGTTTATAGTCTTGAAGAATTCATCAAAATGCAAGGGCTCTCGAACCTGACTCCGCGAATTGATGGGTGGAGGGCGCTACTTCTACTTCTTTACTTCCCCTCGGTTGTTTCTGTCTGTGTATATATTACTTTTTCCTCAGCGCTAAATGACTAATTGTGTCGATGTGCGTTTCTCTACTCAAACCAAAAACAAACAAACCCGATTTCCGTTTTCACCTGCTCGCTCACCTCCTCATACCATTACCACCTTAGCCCACGCTCTTATTAAGAAAGAAGGTTGGTCATCTTGTTGACACCTCCACCCGCATGCCCTACTCAAGTGTTGGTACGTTTCATTTGAGTAAGCGGGTGGCAGTTGGTAGGTCAGGTTTGAGTTGGCGGGGTGGTACATTTGAGTAAGCGGGTGGCTGATGCACTCACTCCCATGTCGCTCACGCAGCTCCACCGGGCTCATCAGAAGACACGCGCGCTTTTTTTAGAACCGTGTGGATTTTCCGAATGACACGCTTTTACGCCGGTTCACAGTAACCTATCGATTGGGGGGAATTTTGGCGGGGGAATTTGTATCGGGGCCTTTTCTGGCTCGTTGCGTCGCCGTTGTTGTGATGTAGGCCAAGCCTACTTATGGCACGGAGATGTGGAGAGGATTCCTAGATGGTCTTGTCTCTTCCGTGAATGATGACGCTGATTTGAAGCTACGCGGCGTGTCCTTGCGTCGTTACTTATTTTATCGCAGTGTCTTTAAACCGTGTTTTGTATTTTCTAAGAACTGAAATTAATGTGGACTCTACTTTTACGTGTTTTCCAAGTGAGCTATAGATTCCTGTTTCATATGTTTTCCAAGAAGTGAAATAAATACCGTGTTTTCCAGGTGTAATAAATAGCAATGGACTCTTGTTTCACGTGTTTTCCAAGGAGTTCAATAGGTATCAGTGGGTTCTTTATGTCTAGTTCTGAAATTAGGGAAGACTGCTTGTGTCTGAAGATCAGTCTGAGACAAAGTGTTAGGTCAGGTCTTTGATTCTTACAAGTACATCATCACAAATTGCCAATTCTCAACCCAAAACTGTCGTCTTTGTGTCCCTCATGATGTCTTCAAGTACAGTAGACCTTTTCAACTCCTGTTCTTCAATAGCATCATGTATATATTGAATATACCACCGAGACTGACATTGTGTCGGACTGGCTTGATGTACCTATTGCTGGCGCGCTAAGCCTTGGCGTACATCGTATATTATCTTCTCACGCGTGATTATTTGTTCTGGATTACGACTCCTGCAGGCTCTTGTAACACAAATATGTAATGAAAATCTTTAATGTGCCCAAGATAGCTGGTGTACTACAGGTATAATATACAGTATAAAGGAAAGGAGGAGAAGTGGTCAGGACGGAACGAGGGAACAAACCACACCAGATCACCCTCTATACTGAAAATGTTGAATGTGTCCCGCTCGTTCGTATGACCTTATAATGCAGTTGTGAGCGCCGAAAAACGCTTACATCTACGAAAATAACTACCAAAATAAGCAAAAAACTGCATCCTCCAACCACTGACTGGCGGCGCGGCCATCCAGATAAGCAGCTGTCTGAATGACGGACGTGTGTTGTTACCCCAGCAGCGTGTGGGCCTCGTGGTTCGACATGGAGGACCCTGTGGCGGCCGAGGTGGTCGTGGAGGATGTGGAGGGGGATGGCGAGGTCGGCGTTGGTGGATGTGGGCTGTGCAGCTGCTCTAGTGTAATGATAACTTTATTCTGTTTGTTGTCTCGTGTT